AACAGTTGCTGCACTGCTTTGACAATCTGCTGTAAACATTTTACTATTTATAAATCAGTTTTAAACTCTTTGCTTTACACACAAGCACTTACACTGTCCAGTACATCATTAATATTATGATTTCCACTCATTTTACTTTTGTTTGTGCCAAGGCGAATCAATATAAGGTGATAGCAGGAGTACAAAAACAAAAATTTACATGTATTTTGTTTTTGCTTTGGCGGTATAAACTGTCAAAACCTGTAAGTGTGAGTAGAAATTCAAACAAAATTTTTCAATTTGATATCAGAAGCCGTGCGGCGAAACACATACACAAAATCAACTGAGCTAGTAACACCACTTTATATATATTCTTTTGACATTTATTTTTCTTCTTCTGCTAGTAAAAATTTTACTAGCAAGAATTTGCAGCTCTCTCGTGTTGTTACGCTCTCGATTCAGTGCTCTCTTGCAAATTTTTTGGGTTATCATACACTTTTCCAGTAAAAGTTTGCAGGTTCCAGTACAAATTAGTACTGACTATTGGTAATTTTACAAACCTATTCAAATATCGTCGCCTGGATGGAAAATTGCCGGAAGCGTCATTTTGACAATTTGTGGTTTTTGGATATCTTCTTTAGTTTCCGACTAATTGACTAAAATTTTTTCGGTTATTTGGTACAAATTGCGTTAGTATTGCTGTCGTACTAAACTAATCAAGATCTTTCAAATAGAGTTATCTGTTCTTCTTTAGTTTCCGACATATTCAGCTTTATCATGAGTTTCATTTTCTAGAACCGGGTCACTTTTCGTTTGCGTGTGTTCACTACAGGTGGATGAACAAATTGTTGGCGAAATTTTGTTCGGGCGAAACTCACGATTAGGCTGATTAGTAAAAAGTATGGTTAATTTATAAAAATTGTTATCACATTTTGGCGTATATCACTAAAACTGACTGCAAATTTTTTGACAAATGTCGTATACGACAAAATTTTATTAAACTCATAAATGGTTGACACTAAACTAAAAAAAATATGATAATTTAAGAATTTCATGAACTAGTACATAGCATTCTCAGACACTTTGGAGAAAATCTGCAGTCGTGTTTCTGAGAAATTGCATTCCAAACTTCAATCGTGAGTTACCGAAAGTAACTTGTGACAATCTTTTATCCACGGATCTACATAAATTATAATTGTCATTATTTTCGCAGTTGGAGCATGATTCAATAATACAAGGTTAGATAATTATTGACAGCTGCGGTTTGACACTCCCTTACAAAAGGTTGCATTTACGAAGGACAGAGAAAGGGCAAGAATGCGATCCCTTTTTTCGAAAATGGTAGTAGAAAAGTACGCAAAGTAGCCAATTAGTAGTGAAATTCCTTTCGTAAATTCTAATATATTTGCAGGAAATCTGGTATTTTAAACGAAATGTTGAACGTAATATTGATATATCTACGTGAATTACGTAATTTATATGCTATTTAGCCGTATAAAAACTGCAAAATGACTCAAAATTAAAATAATACTACTATGAGATTGATGTAAACATCCAATGCTTATGTTTTCATCAGTTACATATGCTTCATATGCATATACAAATAAACATATTGCACAAAAGCTTATACTTTTATTTAACACCAAAGCTACACTGTTTCGATGTAAATTTGCAAAGAAGCAACACGGTGCCACTGCTAAGGGAGCGGTGCGAGAGGGACAACTGTCAGTTTATCGAACCTTGTATTATTGAATCATGCAGTTGGAGTATATGCCAGACGAGTAACAGGTATACACATACAAGGATACCTAAATTAGCGCGTTGAACTTGTATATTTATCTCTCTCCAACGCATTAATTCTATATACGTAGGTACCAACGCCTGACAACTCTTGCAAGTTTTTGCTAGTTTTGTGTTCAATAACCTCTTCTGCTAGTTTTCTCTTCTTCTCAATTTTACGCTCTCGCTGCAATGTTTTACTGGAGAAGTTACTATACAAACCTAATGTTACTCGCATATTTTCGAGCCTGTATGTAAATTTTCGGGAAAAAGGTTAAAAAGTATATTCATCTGCTGAAAAGATATTTTCGCAGATTCACAATTTATTTAAAATAAATCTATCAGCCCTATCTCCAATTCCATGTGAATAAATCTCTCCAGTGCTTAAATAATTTTCACCACATTAAATAGCTGCACAACACCCTAATTGCCGAAAAAGCGTTGCTTGCAACACTAGTCCTTTATGGGGACCAAACTTGGTAAAAAAAAATAGCTAAGTTTGTTTACTGGATATACTGAGATTTCGATGAATATTATTCTGCCATATTGAAATAATACCCTACAAGAATTGTGTGATGGAAACTAACACATTCTCATTTACCTTACTAACACATTTACAAACTTTGCGTTGGTTAAAAAAGAGACAACTAAATAATGCCATAAGTCGGAGAAAGACGGAACACAAATGTTTCCATCGGATTTTTCACACTGCGCTTTAGAATTTGATAGAAACTTGTAGGAGCCAGTGACAGAAATCTCTATCAGTCTTGCCACTCAAATGATTTGTCAAATGATAGTCACTGGTCTTGCAGGGTAATTACGTTTGTAAATGGAATGAATTACTGAATAAAGTAATTAAGTTTAGTTTTTTATATCCATAGTTTTGTTATATTATATCCTCAGTACATTGCTAGTAAATCGATCAAAGCAAACAAGAAAAGATTCATAACCAAATCATTTACCAATGCCTTTCATCTACCGTAGCTTATGCGCTCAAAGGCGAACTGAACGAGTAAGGATGGGGTTGATAAGATCATGTAGAACGATTTCGATGTAAGGTCTAACGTCCATCAAACCACAGCCCGTGAATCGCTCTCGAACCACCATTCTCATATCCCTACTAAACGCTCCACATTTTTTGTTAACGTGTCGATGAAGATGAGAGGAGGATAATGACCTATTATTTTTATTGGCCAAATAATAGACAGAACGATTATGAGAAATGTAAACATGACAAAACTGTCAAAGCTAAACTTCAAAATGGGGGGAATTGCCAGATGAATGTACGTAATACCATGTTCTGACCGACAACGAAAACACTTTGAAAACGTGTTTTGGGACTGTGGGCTGAAGGCTGCTCACACCGGCTGTTAGTGTTTTCGTTGACATTTCTTACATCCTCTGATTACAGTTTTGCTACACAAAAACAAAACCAAAATGCTTTTCCCTCATTTTCTTTTCATTAGCAACCTGTTACTTTCGTTCTTATTTTACTTTTGCCAGCCAATTAACAATAAATCCGAAATGGCGTATTAAAGATGATAAAATATGACTTCCACTTCGATAAATAATCGAAAAAAACTAGTGACGACACCGATTGGAATGAGTGGATCGTGAGTTTTCAAATAGTTTTCAGCGAAAACTGGTTTTCGTTTGACAGATTTTACATGGGCGAAAACACAAGTTTTAAGTCGAAAACCAGTTTTAGCAAGGAAAACATGTTTTCGATGTCGGTCAGAACATGGTATAACCAATAGTTATTCAAGACACGAACCATCACATCGGTATAGACACGAATTGGCATGGCCACTATGAAAACGCCAACACTGACATACGATAAAAGAATCAGTGGTCACATACCACGAGGCTAGAAAAATATTTTTCCTTTTTGGAATTGGACACGGACCGGACAACACACATCAGCCCTCGTAAGAACGAAAGTAATCCTAACCAAGCAATTTATTAAAGCTGACGACATTGGTTTGGTTAAAGTCAATTCTCAGAGTGCGTATACCTGGGGAATATACTTATCGGCATTGTTCCACCACATTCCTTCCGGCAAATCCCCAACCAAGTTGTTACCTGTGGAAATAAAGAGTCTAAGTGGATATAAATTCTGGTCTATTCATTTGGCAGCAGTTAGACCACCGTACACCGGTAATCCCAAAATCATCAGACGTAAGTCAACCTCATTATTATCAACATCCCATTGGAAACGAGCTACCCAACAACAGTTTATCGAAATTCCTGTTTGGACCGACAAGAAAAGGTCGCCTCGTCCTTGCCCACCCGTGTATTTCTCTGCAGCAGCCGCACGGCATTCTTCGTCGCACCAGCTGTTCCTGCGTGGGCGGTAGTATCCAACCACCTCTTCTTTAAGCTGTATTGAGAATCAATTGCGAAATTTTCTCGGCTGTCTGCTGTAAATGCAGCTTCTCGATGTCGACCTTTCGCCATGTTTCCTGACGCACGTTCTACATTGCACAGAGGCGCATGCGGACCTTGGTTGCAACAACAAGATCTATTTGGTTCTTCTTTCTTTGATAAGGGGCCATCCTCCAGGTGACTTTGTGGATGTTTCGCTACTGGTGTCTGGTACTACTAACTATCGTCGTTGTCGGAGGTGCTTTCATGAAGGCTGAATTTTCCTACTGTTGGACCAAAAAAGCCTTCCTTGGCGTTATAATCGTCCAGCACATATTCGTGTTCAGTGAACAAAATTTTAAATATTTACATTTTGTTGTAAAATAGTGCTATTTATAGCAGCTCCCTAAAACTGCAATTCGAATGTATGCCGCCACCGTGCCGACGAGGAAATTCTGCATTACTATATCAAAAATGCTGGTTTTTGAC